CCTCTTACATTTTGAACTCAAATACCTGTACTTTCTACTTCTTACATGTTGAACACAAATACCTGTACTTTCTACTTCTCACATGTTGAACACAAATACCTGTACTTTCTACTTCTTACATGTTGAACACAAATACCTGTACTTTCTACTTCTTACATGTTGAACCCAAATACCTGTACTTTCTACTTCTCTCATTTTCCAAACAGGCTGGTTCCTTTAGTCTGAATGTGTGTTTGGTGGCGTGATCATTATTATTTAGAGTCATTGCGTGCCTATTGATTTGAACACGATCCGTGTATCCATCATTTCCTGGTCTTCTCTAAAGAAGAGGGACCAATGGAAACGTTGTCATGTTGCCGTTGGTCACCATGGAAACATTCATTAGCTAACAATGACATTATTGTTCTATTAATATAAAGGGAGGTCAGGTACTCTTTAAAACAGCTGCTAGTTATGGGTACTTTTTACTGAAGTACATTTCAAAGCCTCTTTACTTTGACTTGAGTAAAGAAGTTTAGTCAGTACTTCTACTTTCACCAGAGTATTTTTAAACACGAGTATCTGTACTTCTACTTGAGTAAATGTGCATTTGACAATAAAACCATTGAATCTTTGATCTTTTCCCAATTATTTTTCATTGTAAACGTTTCTAACCTTTATCAGCGTGTTGATGCCCGTCAGGTCCATGAAGCAGACGCCTGGCAGGTCCAGGATCAGTGTGTGGAAGGGGGTGGGCTTCAGCTCCAGGGTGGGTGGGGGGGGATCCTGCTCCCCCACATTGTCGTCATCAGAGTGGAAGTTAACGTAGCTGGTGTGGGGGCTGCTCGTATCAAAGTCATCCTGCATCTCCAGCTGGGAGATGATCTGCGTTCAGAGGAGAGAGGAAGGTCACGGGAGAATAAAATAATATATAAAACTTGGTCTGTGGTCTTTCCGTGTGCAAGGTCCTCAACAGCCTTATTATATTATATCTATGTATGTTATAAGTATATATATTTCTTTCATTTTTCTGTATTTATTAATTGTGCATTACTTTTTTCCTACTATTACGAATTGTGTTATTTGTAGTTTACTTTTAGTTATTATATTGTATTTATGTCCTTGCCTATCTGACCTTCATGTATTAATCAAGTACAGATACTGCATGAATGTGTTAACCTCTGACTTGAATTATGTTTTAAGTTTGTTCTGTGTCAAATTGTTAAAGCACTTTGAGCTGTGTATGAAGTGTGCAGTACAAATAAATAGTTATTATTATTTTAATTATTTTATAAACGTGATCCCACCTGAGACTTCATGGTCACCAGAGAGCTGGATTTCCTCTTCCTCGCCTCCTTCCTCTCCTCCTTCCTCTCCTCTTTCTCTTTCCCCTTCTCCTCTTTCTCCAAGAACTTCCTCCTGGCCAGGATCAGTTTTCCAGGATCCAGTCCGGTCTGAAATCAAAAATAAACATAAAAAAACTGCACAAAATACTCACAAAGAGTGACAGAAAAAAGGTGGAAGTGTTCAACGTACCTTTTTAATGACCCTCTGACGAAACATTTCGGCATTTGCAAAGTAGAGTGGGGAGCAATAATTCACTATTTTCACACCTGTTATTGAAATGACCTGTGGAGATATTGCAAAACATATTCAACACAATTCCTCTGAGACTATCTTTGCAGCAACAGAACATATTCAGTTCTCATACCTTACTGTACACTTTAGGGTTTTTGTAGATATCTGTATCCATAATCTGAGAGACTGCAGAACCATTACGACTGTGAGAAACAACATTTAAATAAAAAACACATTAATATACACACAATGGCACAAAACATTTCCATTAGGAGAAACAATGCAGCTTCAGAAACAATGTAAATATAAAAACACAAATGTGCCAAAACACATGCAGAGGAAGAAACCTTCACCAACTTTTGCACCTTTTTGCCATCGTATAAAACAACTTATTACACGGATTAGTTGTGTACTCAATTCTGATTGGTCAATTCAGAACACGTGACAAGTTGTTAATACAGTAGTACAGACCGCTGTCAAGGAGTATAATGACCGTTGCTAAGGAGGATCAAGGGGAAAAAAGGAAAATAAGGTAAAAGACGAGCACTGGACGTCAGATAAATCACCAGAAGAAGGCATACAGGAAGTGAACACTAACAGGGACACGGTATGGGCTACAGACAGGAAGTAAACACTAGGAACACGGTATGGGCTACAGACAGGAAGTGAACACTAACAGGGACACGTTATGGGCTACAGACAGGAAGTAAACACTAACAGGAACACGGTATGGGCTACAGACAGGAAGTGAATACTAACAGGAACACGGTATGGGCTACAGACAGGAAGTGAACACTAACAGGAACACGGTGTGGGCTACAGACAGGAAGTAAACACTAACAGGGACACGGTATGGGCTACAGACAGGAAGTAAACACTAACAGGGACACGGTATGGGCTACAGACAGGAAGTAACACGGTGTGGGCTACAGACAGGAAGTGAATACTAACAGGGACACGGTATGGGCTACAGACAGGAAGTAAACACTAACAGGGACACGGTGTGGGCTACAGACAGGAAGTGAATACTAACAGGGACAAGGTATGGGCTACAGACAGGAAGTAAACACTAGGAACACGGTATGGGCTACAGACAGGAAGTGAACACTAACAGGAACACGGTATGGGCTACAGACAGGAAGTGAACACTAACAGGAACACGGTGTGGGCTACAGACAGGAAGTAAACACTAACAGGAACACGGTGTGGGCTACAGACAGGAAGTAAACACTAGGAACACGGTATGGGCTACAGACAGGAAGTGAACACTAACAGGAACACGGTATGGGCTACAGACAGGAAGTGAACACTAACAGGAACACGGTATGGGCTACAGACAGGAAGTGAACACTAACAGGGACACGGTATGGGCTACAGACAGGAAGTAAACACTAACAGGAACACGGTATGGGCTACAGACAGGAAGTAAACACTAACAGGAACACGGTATGGGCTACAGACAGGAAGTAAACACTAACAGGGACACGGTCTGGGCTACAGACAGGAAGTAAACACTAACAGGAACACAGTATGGGCTACAGACAGGAAGTGAATACTAACAGGAACACGGTATGGGCTACAGACAGGAAGTGAACACTAACAGGAACACGGTGTGGGCTACAGACAGGAAGTAAACACTAACAGGGACACGGTATGGGCTATAGACAGGAAGTGAACACTAACAGGGACACGGTATGGGCTACAGACAGGAAGTAAACACTAACAGGGACACGGTATGGGCTACAGACAGGAAGTAAACACTAACAGGGACACGGTATGGGCTATAGACAGGAAGTAAACACTATGGGCTACAGACAGGAAGTAAACACTAGGAACACGGTATGGGCTACAGACAGGAAGTGAATACTAACAGGGACACGGTATGGGCTACAGACAGGAAGTGAACACTAACAGGGACACGGTATGGGCTACAGACAGGAAGTGAACACTAACAGGAACACGGTATGGGCTACAGACAGGAAGTAAACACTAACAGGGACACGTTATGGGCTAAAGACAGGAAGTAAACACTAACAGGAACACGGTGTGGGCTACAGACAGGAAGTAAACACTAACAGGAACACGGTGTGGGCTACAGACAGGAAG